CACGCTCTGAGGAATGCGCGCAGGTCGTGATGCACGACACACGCTTGTCTCTCGTAATTATACAGCCATACACACGGTACCGAGGTGAGGATTTCGCCCAGGAGGGGCCAAATCGGGGCAACGCGGGTCGTTTTAGACAAGAGACCCTCTCATTGTCGGTGCAGGGGCCATGTTTTTGGATTGGGGGACCTTTTAGGTTCGGAGTTCCATTGTGCTGCCTCAAGGTTCGGTTTGTAATGTTTTAGAAGACCTGCGACGTTTTAAAATGTCAAAACTTTACAAGGGTTGCCGGTCCAGAAAGGCGGCTCCTTTGGGTCTCTATATCTGTAGGGAAAATCGTAAGTCCAAAAGCCCGCTTGGCTACGTCATTGACTACACATGACCTCCGCGCTGTTCCCCGCATGACCTGCTTCACGTGTATTTTCACCCCTTCACCCTCTAGTGTCCTTATTATCGGAGTGGCACAGGCACACATTACAGAGTGCAACGAAAGGATTAAGATAGTTGCAAGGATCACCTTTATCACTTTTTCTTTGCCAGCTAAGTGGGGTGCTCGAGAGAGCAAACCACACAGGAGTAAACCACACAAATAATGAAGATGCACGCGTGATGGTTATGTCAACTGATCTTATGCCTTTTGGTTGTGTTGTCCCACGTCACTTTCAATGTTTGCTATACACCTGATACGTTTTAGTTTCAATGTGGGACTCAAACCACAAAAGATTCGCTAATGACTAGAATCGAACATAAACTGTCATGCGTCAGAACATTCTGGTTTTGGAACCGCATGTGTTTTATGAAGCTGCATTCTTTGTCAACCCCCCCCCCCCCCCGCCCTCACGGACTCATTCAGGCAATCGACCGATGCTGATCCAGGAGACTACCAAAACATGTGAAAAGGGTTCATTACCAGTTAACCGGGGCTGTTGTATACTGTCCTGCTGACATGAATGGCTCGTTATGAAACGCAGATATAATGTTCACCGAACGGGAAGGAACTGTTTGTGTTCATCACACGCAGACGAGAGAAGGGCTGGATGGAAACTATTCGTTAATTTGCCACTTTTGCAGTCATGAAGTCCCCGACGTAACAGCGGGAAGGTTAATTTTACATCGTTGGGCTCTGCAGAAGTGGCATGAGCTGCGGACTGTTACAGCACGATACGTTAAATAAACCGTACGATGACGTCACACGAACCGTTCAAGATTGTATAATTGTGTTTAAAATTGCAATTTGCAGCTTGTTGAGGGATATCAGTAATAACCGCAGCAAAAGTGACTCATGCTTAGCGGAATTATTAAGTGTCTACACAGTCCATACAGTTTTGGAGCCATTTGGGCCTAAAATGTATCTGCCTTCGAGCCACGGACCTTCACAAGTACATATATATAAAAAATGCATTGGTATAAGTTCGCGCATATAATACATGCCCACCCCTACCAATGATCATTTGCACATCCCCCCACCATCCCTTAAGCAGTGGTTTACGACACAGTACATTTTTCAGGAAAAAGGGTTCTCCCGCATCCGCACCAGTCCGACCGCTGCTTCCAATCGCTTCTGTACGCTGACCAATATCGACGGGCCTATTCTGTCCTGCACCCGGCCCTGGTCCTGCCCTGAATCCGTTCTGAGCTCACTCACGGTCCGTTCCCCGCTCTGGCGCCGCGCCCCTCTTCGGCCCACTCTGGCGCTGCGCCCCTCTCTGGCCCACTCTGGCGCCGCGCCTCCTTCCGGTCCGCTCTGGCCGCCGCGCCCCTCTCTGGCCCACTCTGGCGCAGCTCCTCCTTTCGACACACTTTGCGCTGTGCCCCTCTTTGGTCCGCTCTGGCCGCCGCGTCCCTCCCCGGCCCGCTCTGGCACCGCGCCCCTCTCTGGCCCACGTCTCTTTCCGCCTCACCCTGGCGCTGCGCCCCTCTCCGGCCCGCTCTGGCCGCCGCACCTATCTTCAATCCCCGCGTCCTGCCCTGCCCTGCTCGTGTCCGTTTGGCGGCCGGCCGGGTCGGCGGCCGGCCAGGTCGGCGGCCGACCCGGCCGGCCGCCGCTCCGGCCGTGGCCCGCCGGATCGGAGACGGCTGAATTAATCGCCGAAATGGCGGACCGACCCCGGGACACCGAGCGACAGTGCGACGCAGCAGCCGCCCGGGCACAATCAGCAATAGCGGCCCGTAATTCGATCAGGGCGCCTAATAGGCACGGATTCTAATCTATGTGAGTGCCGGCATGAAAATAATATGGTGGATTAAAAAACGAGCAATTGCAAGAATGGCATACAATTAAATTACGGGCAGGATATATTGGCGGGACGCTCTGCCGATGCCCCAGTGACATCCGCGGCTCTGGCCGGCTAGGTCCGGCGGCGGGGCTGGCGGCGCGAGGAGCGGCACAGGACCTGCCGCGGCCCACGGCCCGTCTCTGGTGGTGACGGTGGCAAGGTCCATCGCTCGTGGTGCTGGTGGTGAAGCAGGCGGCTGGTGCAGTGACTCCTTGGTGCGGCTGGTGCTAGCGTGTTTGACAGCGCCGGGATTGGTGGGTTCGCGCGTGACTGAATCACGTGAAAGAAGAAAGAAACAGTGCTGCCGGAATGCACGAGAAGAGTCTTCGAATTCCCTGTGACGCTACGGCACTCTTTTTGGATACTTTTTGGTGCAAATAGGAAAGATTACTATGGGGATGTGATCTGATCTGAGCATCTGTGTTCAACACTGCATGTGTCCACATCCTTAGCTTTCGCTCGGCCCGACACCAGGCTTCTTTTTGGCGGTCCGCGGTGCAGCATTGTTGGTTGCCTTTTTACGTCAGCTTGTAACGTAAGTAATGTCATTGGTAGTCTAGGATTATACAGCTATGGTCATAACTGGTTGGCACGCAGAAATATTGCCTGTGTGCATGCTTGATCAGGTTTTGTTGAATATTAAACATGCATCATAATTTAATATTCCTTTTGAAAGCTGGCTAACCTACGTAGCTGCCTGACTTTAGAATATGGGACGGACATTAGCTCATCGTTCAAGTATATAAGCACATTAACATCGACGCATCGGTTAATTCAGCACAAGGGGACAGGAACTTCATTGCACTGTCATTTGTTCAAGTTGGTTATCTTCCGATCCAAGTGATCCAATACAGCAATGTAAAAGCTGTCAGCCGATTAACAATAGCGACAGAAAGCATGCGAAGGAGCATCTTAAGATCTTGAGGCAAACATAGAATATCTGAGAATCTTAGAAGATAAAATCGCGTAGCACACTGAAAATGATGTCATAAAATGGCGGTATGATATTTAGCATGAAGCGTATCAGATCAGGCTATCGCCACGGCAAAAAATGTGATGCCTGAGCCCCAAAATATATGATATATATATATATATATATATATATATATATATATATATATATATATATGTGTGTGTGTATATATATGCATTGTAAATGTTAACAATAAATGGTTATCGCTATGATTTCGTGCCGACAATGGGAAAATCATACGATGTTATAGTTTAACTAAATCGAGGTAAAACTTAACTCTAAAGCAAAAAACCATGGTTGCAATAATAAAGCAAGGGCCACGAATGTGTTAACAAATGCACGGAAGGCTTCGAGAGTTAGTTGGCTCTAGACCACCGAATTATTGCCATGTTCTAGCTGCAAGTCTGCTAGCACTTGCGCCTCCCTGGTGTCAAAAACGGGACTCCCTTCCAATGCGGTGGCTTATTTGGTTCTAACAGTGGCAGAAATCCCGCAACGCAGTGCTGGCGGAAGGTGAGGTGGATGCGTCTCGCTACTGGACACCTACTCCGCACCAACCAGGCTGGGTGACCCGTGTCCGGCGGCTCTACCGGCCGGTCACGGATGGATGACCCGTGTCCGGCGGCTTTACCGGCCGGTCACGGCTGGGTGACCCGTGACCGGCGGCTCTACCGGCCGGTCACGGATGGATGACCCGTGTCCGGCGGCTTTACCAGCCGGTCACGGCTGGATGACACGTGCCCGGCGGCTTTATCGGCGGTTCACAGTTGGGTAGCCCTTGCCCGGCGGCTTCCCCGGCCGGTCACGGCCGCCATCACCTAGTACGCCGTGTCCAACATCCAGACGCAGAACGTGCAGTTGGTCTCGAATGGAGCGCTGAGGTTTGGCTGCACAGTGGCGCCGACTTGCAATAGGTGGACAAGTTACGCGCGGTGCCGTGTCAAAATATGTTTTAAAGTTCTGCTTTGTTCTGTTTCGTTTTTTGTCAATAAATGTCATATCTGTAATATATCGAACGATCGAAAAAACGCGCCTTTGTAACGGCCGATGTTGGCCAACCCGTCTGTCACCATGCATGATTGTTGAACTTATACTAATTGTTGAGATCATACTTATTGTCCAACGCATCCTTATTGTCGAGCTTAATAAACGTTGATTTAGCGGTTAGCCGCCTTGGGGGTGGGTAGGCTTTTATGGCTTCTGCATGCATTCTGTTAAGAGTCTTAAAATAACCCGGAAACATACCATTCCCGGAGTTTAGAAAGCGTATTCTCTGTCTGCATTGCCTATTTCGTTGCCTCCGTACACCAAAGTCTGCATGATTCGTCATGTCGTGGTCAAACACATGTGGACGGCACCCGGCTCCATTCCGGCCTTTTAATGGTCCAGGTTTTTAGCCGACACCGGGTGAGGTTTCCTTTAAATAACCAGTTCCGATGTGATCTGATTCAGCCCCGGTTTGTAGCAGAAAATGCTGATGCATCATTGCATGACATTGAATTAACAGCACTTACGTTAGCCCTTTGAAATGCCAGGTTTCCTAATGATGGGGTGTGTCATTCCAGCTATGCGCAATACGACAATCACAAAGGCGACCAAGCACCGTAAAAGCAGCATCGTTCCCCAAGTCAAACGGCCGAGCTGCGGGTGTCTCAAACCAGGCGGTCCCACGTCCGGTCCCAGAACGTGATGAAGTGACCCGTTGCGACTACCGCGCTTTGGTCGTACGCTCCTCGCCCGGCGGAGCTTACCTTCGAGCGCCTTGTTGCTGGAGAGCAGAGCAAGCAGCACGTCGGGTGGGGGTCGCTCCAGGCCCGTCATGGCCGTCTGCGGTGGGTCGGATCGCCCGCAGCGCGGTCGGGTCAGGTCACTGCCGCCGGCCGCTGCGCCGCCGCCGCCGCTGCGCCGCCGCTGCCGCCGCACCGACCACCGTCGCCGCCGGCCGCCGACCGGCCCCTAATTTGCCCGAGTGCTCTGTTGCGCCGACCAATAAAAATGGGCCTGTCAGGTCTCCGGCTGCCGTGCCATTAGTCTTGATTAAAACCGGGGAGAGGAAGGCTGGAGCCGGCGGTCACGTGGTGTCTTGGCCCCGCCCCCGGCGCCGGATCGAAGGCGCTACAAGATGGTCGCGCGCCGGCTGCGGCGCCGGCCGTCGCCGCCAACCAATGACAGCACGGCCGTTGGAGGCGCGCGCCGCCTGCGCCCATCGGGGGCCGGCTCGTCGGTGTCGACGGCGCCGCCGCCTGTGGCCGGCCGACGCGGGCGACGACGGCCGCCCGCCGCCACCCTGCCGGCCCGAGACGGCGTGGCTACCGCGCGGCGCTCCTCAGGCTCGCCGTGGAGGGTCACGACGCTGGGATGAAGTCCGACAGGAGATGCACACGTGTTGGGCGTCACGCTCCCTAGTGGTGATGCGAGATGTGACCAAGACTTTGTCTGAGTCGTTGCCATAGTGCATATAGGCGTTGCGTCCAAAACCTGATCAATTTGGTTCTGAGTGCAAAAGCCGAGAGTTGCGGAATGGTTAAGAGCGCGTTAGCATGTTATATGTTACGTCCGTCTGCGTGCTTTAACGGTGTCAAATGCACTTAAAAGCTGTTTTTTTTAAATGTCCATGATCCACTGACCACGACCGCTCAAGTTACCATATATTCTTTGGCGTAGAAAATTACGGTAGGCCGTTAAAGCAGCGTACTTAATGCCCTCTCCAAACATAGACAAACAAACAGCACCTACGTCACAACGGGGCACTTGCTCCTTACCAGAGCCCACTGGCCAATCATTGGGATTTAGCTGATCCCTGTGTGTATCAGCTAAATGCTGATCTGATGTGTGATTGATTGGGTGAAAAAATAGAACCCAATATCCGAAATTCATGAGCTGCGGAGGACATCGATATCCACCGGCAAGAGGCCAACAAATATGTGTTATGTAACCACAACAAACCACACGGGCGTCCTGAGATGCATGCTGCTTCTACAATACGTACTCATCCCAAAGAGGCTTTTTCATGGCTCTCTTGTGTACCCAGCAAAAAAAAGGGTGGAGAAAATTGGCAGACAGGGGAAGAAGAAACGACGTGCTCAAAACTTTGACTGAGCGCTAGTTGCCAACTTTCTTGCTTCTATTGACTTAACAAACACCTGCCAACGATATTTAATGTGCACCATAAATCGTTTAACAAGAGTTTATTATGTACAAGTTATTCGCGAAATGCATTAAACCTCGCACAACGAGGAGCTTCAAACGTCATCACAGAATCAAAAACAAAATTTGAGCGGTTTTGAGCGCGTCGCCAAAATGTTAGATGATGGTATGAGTTTTAACTGATAGATGAGTTTAAGTCATTTTTGTTTATGTAAAGAGCATTCGAGCTTCTGACATTGAAGTTTCATGGTGTACGTCCTCCTTTTTCGAGATAATTTCGTTTGCATTTGTGAAAAAGTGATGAATAACGTTGGGAACGTACCTCAAAAACTTTCTACGCTGTTTTCCTTAATGTTATTAATCTGAAGAGCACTATCACCACCCTGGCTGTTGTTTCGTAGTCATTTCATTCAAGGACCAGCAATAATAAAGATCCAGCAAGAGTTGATCTAAGGAGGGCTATGGATTTAAACCTTGGTGGCTCACATCTGAAAGTTTTTGAAGGCCTTTCTAGCGCTGCTTGCCCCTATGACAATGCTTGCCTAATTCTTAACATAGGCGAACGGAGCAATGCAACAGCCTTCACTTTTTTGATCTGACATGATCCATCACAGGCCATACGCGCCGGTATTATTGACCAGTGCCCATTCAATGGAGTTTTCTTATAGCTACCTAACGCCGTATTTCACATTGTCATAGCGTGGTTAGTTTAGGATGGGATCCATACGGAGGGGTCTAGCAAGTGATGATGCTATCCCTATCACCTTATATGTATAGTCAAAGATAGCATTCATCGTTGTTTAATCACACCTATTGGATGCAATTTGATAAGAGCTTTCCAATGCTGTGTTCACATGGCTCCAGCTTGCTTAGTATCCGAGATCTTAAGTGGGTTTCTCAAGCCCCCTGTTGGGAGACAGCAAAAAGCGCTCGTCGGGCGATAACTACGCTACCCACCGAAAGGAGCTTTCAAAGGGTCTCAGAAGCAGAGTAGACGATACCATGGCTGTTGAAAAGACAAGACGAAGTATAAAGGCTGCTCTGAACGTGCCATAACGGTTTTGGGAGCATACGCCACAACCTGTCGTATTGTTTTCTTGCTATCTTGGTTTGGCATGCGAATCAAGATATGCCGTCCCATATTTGACTATTGATACTCTTAATACGCATACACAGCCTGTTAAAAATTCTGAAGCATGTGGCTTTTGTACGCGCGCTGTGGAAATCGATGAGTAGTTAGATAGTGAGCAATGCTGCTCAAGCTACCGAAGTCTGGACGAAGGTAAAAAGTTAATCTGTTAATCCATCTGAAAACTCCGCGTGACTAGGTGGTGCAAAACGAGAATCTCGTTATGCCTTAATACATAATTCATGCAGTTTTCAGCGGTGCTCTCGAATTAGTGTTTATTTCGTCAATAAGGAAGGCTTTACACAGACTTAGCCTGCCCCAACACGTCCAGTGATGCACTGTGATCGAGGTTTCAGAGCTAAAAGAGATCATCTACAACTCATTTGCAATAGTCGTGTGCGGAACAAAAGAGGACTCAGGTGCGGCGTCCCAGATCGTTGAATAATAAGGCTGGGGGATGAGAGGCAAAAGTCTTATTTCCGCCAAAGATGTTTTGCTGTTTTAGTTGCTCTTGGGCAGTTTTAGCCTAGGTTTCAGTCCAAAATTGGTGGAGCAGGGGGCCGATAGGAACAAGAATAGCATCCCTCATCTGGCCAAACGGGGGGGGGGGTTGCTAAATAGGTATATTATTATCAATGCAATCTCTGTCGGAGTCTTGATAGCGCGTGTCTACGAATGGTCTCGGACAGGCATGCATTCGAGTCGAATTTATTTCAGATAGATATATTTCAGTTTTTTCAATTCCCCAATTTTTTCTCCGCAATGTTTTATTCGAAAACAATTTAATTCCTGGTCATGAAGCAGCTGGTAGAGTACGACATCATCTGAGCTGCACAGCCATAACAATGGGATGAACTGATTCCATCAGCAAGAGCATCGGTCATTTCATCATGTTCCTGACATTCAGAGGCATGCGTCACAGAAGACCAGTCACTAACGGAGGATGTCACAACTCAATGACGTGGGAATCAGACCCAGCTTTTTTGCACTTAAATTTGGTCTGCCCTGACCTTTGATCTCGTTCTTGAAGTGATTGAAATGTTCATATTTGCTGCTTAGCTAACTGTTAAGCTAAATCGTATCTGGGTTACCATATGTGACACGCATTATCTTGCATAATACAGGAACCAGAACGCTTCTTTCACGTTACTTGAAAACCCAAACACAACAAATTATAATAGCTTAGAAATGCCCTAAAAGGAAGCCGTCAACTCGTATGGCCCAAACTGGTGCATGAGCAATCATGCAATCATGCATCAGTTTATGATCAAAGCAGTCTTTCATCTAGTCACGCAAGACTGCTTGCGTGCCTGTGGGACCAGTCCCTCCCCCGTGATGACTTCGAGGTCGCTCGTGACAGACGCATGAGACCGAGCGTCTCCAGCGTGGACAAAGTGCAGCCCAGCAGAATATGCCCCGGGGGACCGGGAACGCGGCCACCAAATTGCCCGGCGTAATCTACCACGCGTGTTACAAATGACACCCGCTCTGGGAGGCTTCGCGCTTTCGCCACGAATAACGCTGGTTCCGAATCCGACGTCGACGATGGCGATCGGCGAATAGAGAGATTTTGAGCGAGGAATTGGCGGGAGTGAGACGATGTCATCGGCAGCGGTGCGGCGCGGCAGAGTCCAGTGCCCCCTCATGAAAAGCGTGCGAAGGTCCTGGATATGTGAAACAATGGTAAACTCGAATGCACTTCCGTTTCTGAAAACTCAGTCAGTGAAAACAGTCAGCTATTTCCATGCCTTTTTCTTCTCAGCCAGATATTTTTGCGCTGTTACTTGAGCGTTTCTAGAGCATGTGCTGCTAACACCCAACATTCTGCCTGCATACTCACCTCATATTTAACATTTACGGTGGCATAGGTGACACAAGATGTCCAAAACATGTCGACCGTCGTCTGACATCATCTCTTTCAGATGTTTGCCGCGGCTGTTCCCAAGAGCTATATATACTGCAAATTAGTATTACAAATTGGAGTTCAATCAGTACGGCGGCTCGGGAAATACAGCATCTGCACTAGGTACGAGTCACATAGCATGCGTTTTCGCATGAGCACCTGCAGGTAACACGCTGAGCAAGTAGGTTGGCAGGATACATTTTAGAGGCTTGAAAACGCTTAAGGAATTGACTTTGACATCAATTCCTATTTAATTTCTCATCCTAGTAGAATACCGTGGTGTCATATGGTCGGATAGCGTGGGATGGGCTTAGCACTTTTGAAACTTACCGGCACGGCCTTCTAGAATTGAAGGTGCGTTGTTTCACTTTTACCTGGTCGTTTCAGTCCTTACTATGGAGTGCGTCGTCTCACTTGAGTAGTTTCTCGTATACTAAATGACGAATATACTACAGTATTTCGGCTGCTTCGACTAAACTTTCCGTGATTGGTTGTTGTTTGTTTGTTTTTTACATATTCACCGTATGCAGTGGGTTAAGTGCTGTTTAAGGCGGAAAATGTGCATGAATAGCAGGCTTTAACTGTGTAGCCGGACGTGTGAATGATTCGCCAAAGCCTAGTGGGATTACTGGCCAAATGAGTTACTTTTACCGAAGCTGGTTCCATAACATCTGACACACAGGGATCAGACAACATTTAACACAGTTTCACCCGGGCTGAAACGAAACACAATTTCGTTCATCATAGGCCCAAAGCCACGTCTTTGGTTTCCGCAAAACCATGTTTTTGCCTCGTTCCAGTCGGGTAATGTGGCAATCTCTTCTGGAGACGCTATAGCTCACCTAAGAGAGCAATCCCGATATATCTAGACTTCTTAGCCACCAATCCATGCAGAGCTGCACTGTATTTTCTTACTCACTGAGAGCCTCGATGGCGCAACAAACCTTCGAACAGTATAGTTGACACAAGAGATGGTGGTAATAAAAGCAGCCGTCTACCGCTCGTGCAAGTGCTTGTGAAGAAATCGCCCGTAACGTGAACACCTTCTTCCGTTTGGCTCCTTAGTGAATTATAACGCCAAAAAGGGACAAGAAAACATTGATACGTGTTGACCATGAAACTTGCCTACATACGGCTTGACCACTTTAGGCCGGCCAGGGATTGTATAACTCAGATCGACTTCAACGGCCAACGTGGGATGCGCATCTGGCTGAAGAACGTGCCACAGTGGGAAGCAGTCGAAAGTACGATTTCGCTCGTTCATCGATCTTTGAAGGCAGTCAAAATGTACAGCGAACATGAAGCGAGGCACCCAAAAGCTGGGCACCTGGGATTTCAACCATGCATTTAATTTAAGGTGTTGTTGGAACATTTCGGCAACTTGCGTTTTTTACTTGCCGTTCGGTTTTTTGTGTTTTTGTGGTCCTGACCGCAGTGACACTGCATTATAAATCATGCTTTTGTATTTCCCAATCGCTAAGATTTCAGGCAGTCCGCTATCTCCGCGTGCACCTGTTGAAAAGAATGGGATGAAGCTTCAGCGATGCTTGTTGCTTGTCTGCTAGTTAGGTTTTCATGGAATAGCTATCAACGATTGCATTCAGTACGGTTTCTACTATGTTTTCTATGGCATGATTGCTACCGTAATTTCCCTGCATTTAGCCGTGCAGCAGCATGCCTTTGACACATCACGCTTACGATAGCATGTCAAGGTCAATACGGTTAAGTTTCTGACGCAACTCCTGCGTTTATGAACGCGGACGCGTTTTGCAGAGACAGAGAAAACCTACGAACATAAGCCACCAATGTCCCGGCGCTACAGCCCAGCAAGGACGAAGCTGAGGTTTTTCCAGGTCTACGGGAGGCAAAATGTCTTCGAGCAATGGCTGAATAATGATGCACAAAGGACTTTAACCTACTACGTAGGCTACCTACTACGTAGGTTACCTACTACACAAACTTACTACACAAAGCTAATATTTTAGCTTTGTCATGGACGCTAGGATGCAATGTGCTTGTAACCCCAAATTGTACGCGGCGAATTAATTTTCCGTTGCCTCGTACTTTGCCACATGCAGCCTCCAACCACGGCTCCTCAGATGTGAGGTGGCAGACTGCTGTGTTAGGACTTTCACTCTTGGGTTTCCACACTGGGTTATAGGCTTCCGGCGCGACCGGCTGGAGCACTCGGAAATTATCTATGGCAGTCATATATTTCGTTGAGACCTGATTGTAAGTTCAATATGGAAATGTATGCAACTAGATACGGAAAATGCCTCTACTGCAAGCCTATAAATCAAGTGTAGCTATCCGGGACGGCTTCCGAGAAAACAAGGGAGACATCGCGGCATTTCTAGCGATTTTTCCGTTCAGGCCCGGAATCTCCGCCGGTTACGCCCCAGCGTTTTGTGTTCGACCTTGATTTAGGAAAGCTGCGCTGGCCGCTCTGCGTTTCATTGCTACTGCATCTGCGGGCCAGCGTTAAGATGCGAGTCAGTTGTAGCCGGTGCCTGCGTCTGCATTGTGTAGTCCGTTATCCCCGTGCATATGCAATACCGGGTTGCTGGGCTCTGGATCCGCTTTCGACCCGCGTTTTTCAGCCGCTTCGCAGTTCGAAAATTTGCGAACGGTTGAATACACTTCCAGACAACCGGAGAGACCAGTTGGACGAGCAGTCCGTTACCCCGCCGATTGTCTGTTGCTACATACATTTTCATGAATAGACGCGGTCCATCTAGGCAGCAGCGGTCTAAGTCATGCTCATCATGCAGACGGCTCGCGGTGAAAAGGATGCCGATAAGTGACTTACTTGGATGGCACGGATTATTTTAAACCCGACGGAGTGCAAAGGCAAGGCGCATATCTTAAAGAATTACCACTCGTCGGCATCACCGTTGATCAGTAACATGCTAACCGCTTCCTTAGGAAAAATATATTGAAACGGATATATCTTAAACCGTGACCACACCTTAAAAATGTGCCACAAAATCGACCAGTAGCATGATAAACATTGTCATAAGGGAAACGAATATAGCTTAGAGCACTTTGCAAGCATATTGCATTTGGAAATGTTCAAACTATTTTGCAACGCAAATTGCTGTCGCAAATCTCTCGTCAATGACGCCAGGCTCGGTGTAGCCCGCGCTATGAATTTCAGGTCGCTTACAGTTAAATGCGGTGAAGCGAGAAAAACAAACGTTTGAGCGGCGCCGGAAGGCCTCCGAGTGGCCATCGTACCGCGCCACCGAGCGGCCCGGTGCTTGGCCGTGAGCCGCGATCAATGGTCACGACCCCCCAGCGGCCCGCCGATGGGGTCGCGCCGTACCGCGGCGGCCGTATTTCAGCGTAAATGCACGTTAAAGCCTCTCGCGCGGCGCAGAGAGCGGCAGGTACAACAGTCGAGCGGGTATAAAAGTCGCCGGGCGGCGGGCCGCCATCAGGCCGACCGCGGCGAGTCGGGGGAGGGGGGGGGGGGGGGGGCTCCATACCGACCGGCCACCGCCCACCCGTCGCCACACAGCGACACCACGCTGCGTCACGTTACATAACCGCGGGCACGCTAGCCCAATGGTTTTTCATGCTCCCGGCGTAAACGAGGTCAGTTTCATTACATGGTGCAGCCGACAGCGATGAGACGCCGGAGTGATAAATAACAGGGTTCGGCTGTACCCAGTGTGTACGGTTCGGCTGTATCGAGCGTGACCGACGTGGTTCTCATGCCCGCTTCCGTTCTGCGCACTGTAAGAACGGTCTCCAGGAGACCAGCGGACACGCAAACGCCAGTGGATGACCGCCAGCAATTTATTGAGACTAAAAGTCGGCATAGAAAGGCAGAGCCTGAGCCCAAATGACAGACGGGCCGCATCTATTTACACACAAACTGGCAAGCGAGTCTTAAACGACTCGCGCCAACATGCTCACGCCAATGATAATAACGCACGCGCACTTGCGCCGGACAGGGCTGGGCCGCCGGAGAACCAGCTGCTGCAGACGTCCTGAAACAGGAGGCACGTGACAGAACTGCAGAAGACGACGGCACTGAGTCAAGGTTGACCAATGGCTGATCACAGTTGGTTGTTTGTACGGTTAATACCGGGAAGCGAAACGAAAGCCAAATTTTTAAACGAAAGCCTTTTTAAGTCATTGGAACGATTTTGGGAGGTCTTATCCAAACTGAGGCTATTATTAGCGACCAATGGAGTATTGCACCGACCTGCAATAAGCCAGAAGGACCTGGTTAGAGCGGAAATCCGACCGAAAACATCTCAAAATGGGCCGCCACTGCAAGCCCATGACTGACAAAAGGGCACAAAAGAAAGTAACACGGCCGCACATACCTGGTTGCCGGACGAGATGACGCCAGACCGGATACTTTCCTTACCGCTGCTAAGAGCTGGACCTGTGACGTCGAGAGCGTTTACGGGAGCCGGAGTAGGACCGCGACCGCCGACTCTTCTTGCGGGACGCTGAGCGGGAGCGGCGTGACTTTTTTCGGCGCGCCGAGCTTGAGCAGCGAGTCCTTTTGCGCGACGTCGACCGCGATCGGCGCGACCTCTTGCGCGAGGTAGAGCGCGAGCGACGCGCCTTTTTCCGCGACGGGGAATGGCGCGAGCGCTTGCGCGACGAGGAGCGCGAGTGCCGCGAGCGCCGGCGCGAGCCCGAGCCCGAGCGAGAGCGCGAGCGTGAGCGGCGCGACTTCTTATGGCTTCGCGAAGTGGAGCGCCGCGAGCGCTTCTTGGAGCGCTCGTCGGACGACACGGAGCGACGCGAGCGCTTGTCGGCGCGCGCGCGCTTCTTGTCTTTTTTGGCGGGGGGCGGCGACGGCCGACTGCTGGACGAGTCGCTGGAGGCGCGGCTGGCGCGGCGGCCGGCGGCGCCGCTCCTGCGCCGCTCGCGGCTGCCGGAGCGGCTGCGGCCCGGCCCGTCCGGCGAGCGCGCCGGCGGCGGCCGCGGAGAGCTCTCGTCCGCGGCCGCCGCCGGCCGCGAGCCGGACGACGTGGAGCTGCTGTCCGAGCTGCCGGCGTCGTCCTCGGGGGGCACGGGGCTGGCGGCGGCGGCGGCGGCGGCGGCGGCGGCGGGGACACGGTCCGCCGCGGGCGGCGGTGTCCGGGCGGGCTGGCTCTCTGGAACACAGCGCACGGTGCGAACATGCCACATCACAACGTCAGCGCAGCCACACTGCCCGCCACACGGACCCGGTCCCAGGAAGACGTCGCGGCGGATGGCCCGGGACGTGACCTCACCAATACTGCGCAGCCGCAAACATTGCGTACAGTGTTCCGCTTGCAGGTTTCACCCACGCCACGGCGAGCCCTCACGCGGGCACGTCCCAGAGGACGCCCCGTCAGCCACACACGGCGGCCGCCCCCGGCCGGCCTTCCGCGCTCACCGTGGTTGCCCGCGCGCTCCCCGCCCCCGCCCGGCTCCTGCTCCTGTTCCTGCTGACGCAGGCGCGCCAGGATCTCCTGCTCGCGGCCGGCGAACTCCTGACGCCGGCGGCGAATGGTGGCCGCCAGCTCGGCGTCACTGTCGCCGGAGCCGTCGTCGTTGGCCGCCTCGTCGGCCTCGTCGTCCGACTCGGAGCCGCTCGAGTCGCTGCCGTACATGGCCAGGCCCAGACCTACACCGGCCGGCGGGCGAGGAGTCAGCTGGGGCCGCGCACCGTCGGCAGACGGACGGGCGGGCGCGCCGGACGCCACCGCTGCCCGGACCGCACCCCACCGGGAGCTCACCGCGCGCACAAACACAAAACGGCCGGCGCTACGGTGACAGTTACGTCACATCCCGAACATGGAGTTTGAACGCCGGCTCTGAGATAGGCGGCATGAGAAAACCTGGTACACCGTGCTTTGTTTGCTACTGCTGAAAGCTGAATAGACGGCGATGCTGCGATTCGTTTCGCTGTACAATCTGACCTAAGGCTAAGTCCGCGTTGAAAATTTGAGCGCTTCGGCTCGGATTTATGACGGATTCATGACGTAGTCTGCCTTTGTAGCCTATACCGGAGGGGATGCCCACCAAACTTTATAGCGGAGCTTAACAATGACAAACACGAGTCACAGGCCACAACTAATCCATCGATACGACCCCATATGTTATGTGCTCCAGGCAAACAAAACAGCATATACCATTTAAAAGTTACACTTACGGCGCCACAGCCAGCGCCAGAGATGACTATATTGAAATGGCATTAGAGGCAAGCTGCCAACAAGTCAAGCAGTTCCTGTCTACATTCAGCCCCGGAGGGGACGGGCGCTACCTAAACAACGGCAAAAACGTCGAGATCACTTACCAAGTGGACGATTTACAGAGGCCACAGCCTGGGCTTTCTTCGACGGCGCTTTACCGTAAGAACGGGAGGTTAAGTGCGGGAGACGACAGAGGGCACGGGCCGCTGTAAGACACGACCTCCACAATTACGGAGCAGACACACAGTCGGACAGCGCTGAAGATGGCACAGACCGGCCCAATGAATCCAGCCAGCGCCAGCAGGCGACAGGCACACCAACGCTCTGACAGGGGCGACGTATATTGTCCAAAATCCGATGTCCAAAGTGGCAGACAGTGACTTTATCATACAAGAGACAAGCACTTGCAAGCCAACCGGGTCCAGAGCCCGAATACCTTTGGTTTTCTCTCGTTCCAGCACCTCCCCGGCGATATCTTCCATCTCTGATGATGTCACATCGAGTAAAACCTCCGTCAGCACGCGACGCACCATGACCAGCTGAAAACAAACCACAAATCATCGCAAACTCCTTGCGATGACCACAGCGTAGCATGCGAGCCTTTATAGCACACAAGATATCCCCAGCGCCATCCGGCGGTTGAATTAAACACTCCAGCTTCTGCAAGCACTCACCATGAACCCTTGGCGCTCCTCCGCCGTGAGGATGATCTTGGGCGGCGCGTGGTCAGCGCTAGCCGGCGCGTCGAACCGACTGCGCCTGGTGGATGCAGGGACGGGGGCAGGAGCGGGGGCGGATGCGACGGACGGGGCGGCGGTGGGGGCGGGCGCTGAGGCGGGGGAACCGTCACCAGCAGCCGACGGAGTCTCCTGCTCCGCCTCCGACGCCGAGTCATCCGACGATGAGTCCTGTAAAACACGCCAGTGCGAGTGCCGGTTGAAGTTTTTAATGTCATTCATGTCAAACGAATAACGCAGATATGCACGAATCGTGAGCAGAAGACTAGTGAAACCCCATAGAACCGCAACGCAATAAAAGACAAGGCACAAGTCTCGCGCCACACGCCTCACCGGCCAGGCGCTTCACTAGAATCTACCAAAACAGCCATCCACACAGCCATCGGGCTCTGAGCATCCGACCGTTCACCCACGATCAGCTGGACCACTCGTCGCCGGGCGACTCACGAATTTGCTGCGGGCCGGCCGGAGCGGGTCGGCGGGCGCCTTGAGCGCCTCGGCCTCCTGCTGACGTCGCTTGCGCAGCAGCTCTTCGCGCGCCCGCCGCGCCGTTTCGCGCTCGCTCGCCTTCTTCTTGTCCTCTTCCATCTTCTCCAGTCCCTGGCGGATCCAGATGGGCAGCGTGCGCCGCTTGGCCGCGTCTGCGGCGAGCGCGGGACGCCGGTCAGACGGGGCGGCGCACGCGATACAGCAGGGGCCGGTACAGGGGAGACAGGGCCCTGGCACGCGAAAACCGACACGGCGGGAGCGTGCCGGTTGCGGCGGCATGGGACAGGAAGGCGGTGCAGGGGCCGGGGCGGGAAGGCGGTGCAGAGGCCGGGACGTGGGCCGGGGTAGGAGGGCGGTGCAGGAGCCGGGACGTGAGGATGGTGCAGGGCTGGAATGGAGAGGGGGGCCGTGCAGGGGTCGGGACAGGAGGGCGGTACAGGGCTGGGACAGGAAGGCGGTGCAGGGGCTGGGGCAGGAAGACAGTGCAGGGGCCGGGGTAGAGAGGCGGTGCAGGGACCGGGAGGAGGGTGGTGCAGGGCCGGAATGGGAGGGCCGTGCAGGGGTCGGGGCAGGAGGGCGGTACAGGGGTGAGACAGGAAGGCGGTGCAGAGGCCGGGGCAGGAAGGCGGTGCATGGGCCGTGCAGGACCGGAACTGGTGGGCGGTGCAGGGGCCGAGACAGGAGGGCGGTACGAGGTTGGAACAGGAAGGCGATGCAGGGGCCGGGACAGGAGGGTGGTACAGGGGTGGGGCACGAAGACGGTGCAGGGGGGCTATGCCTGGAGCCGGCCAGCAGCTGAGCACGTACCGAGCGCTGCCGGGTCGGCCACGTCGCCGCTGCTGTGGCGCGTGCCTGGCGCCGACCGCTGCGGCCCCTTCAGGAACGGCGGCTGCTTATCCACGTCGGTCCAGTAGCCCTGGTACTGTCGACACAAGTCCACGCTGTGCTCACGCTCAGCCTCCAGCGTCGCACCACACGCAGACGCCACGGTAACCTCCCCGACCCAAGACAAATGGCCTGAAGAGGCGTACCAGTGAAGGACAGCTAGCGCTGACATAACTGAAAGCTCCTGACTATGCAGGCATGACATTTGAGATAAGCCTACGACACTCCATCTGCCTGCAAACAAGCTTACTATCCGTGACACCAAACCAGCTACCGTGATTTATGGCCATACACCAATTCCTTGATCCCCGACAACACAATAACTGCGCTGATCGTTAACTGCCGTTCGGCGGCGGCGAGCGGCGGCCACACACCGGCTGGCGCTGCTGCGACCCGTGGTTGTAGTCGATGGTGAGCTGGTCCGAGTCGGCTGTGGGGCCCTGGCTGCTGTCGCTGTGCGGCTGGCCCCAGCCCCAGCTGGCGGCGGCCGGCTGCTGGCCGCCCCAGTCCCAGCCCCAGCCCGAGCTGCTGTCCGCGTAGCCGGCGTAGTCGGGCATGGCCATCTGCTGCATCGCCGCCACGGCGCCCGTCGCCACGTCCCCTGTCGACGCAGAGGCGTCAGCGGACGCGTTTCAGCCGACACCAGCACGGACTAGCCGAGGCAGCCTGTCTCCCCTCTTCCAACCGACTGACTTGTTCCCGGGCGGGCTGTGAGAGGAGATATCGGCGCACCCACACAGAAAGGGCAGGCCGGCGTCCGCCGCCGACCGCGGGGTCGAAGTGAAGGCAAGCACACACAAACAAGCACTGGCATGCATAGAGAAAAGGCCAGACCACTCTGCTGCCCAATCAGAGAAGCTGTACATCAATAGAATGCATACTAGTCAGAAATTGTCACTCAACACAGACAGCCCAACAGCATGCTGCGTTAACATCAACATGTTCTCAACATATCTGATTCTACAGCTTCCCTGAGACGTGCAGAGGAACTAAGCATATACTGCAACCCTCTCATTCACAATGGCCCGACAGGCCATCTAGTCATTGGGGCTTTACGACGCACCCAGCTGCTGAGGCTATATGGCGTTACCTGCCTCTCACCCTGGCAGGAAGGGCGGGCGCGCGGGGAATCGAACCCCGTACCTTTGGTTTCCCGACGCGCAGTATAACCACT